CTAAAATTTGTGTTTCCATTTTTAAAAGTAAAAGATCAAGATGACAGTGTATCAAGGAGAATGTAATTCGGGTGCCCACTATTTCCTACATCTCATTTCCAGGGCCTCCAACATTCGAAGACTCTCATCGCATACACAGGCCTCTGGCTCCAGGCTGCAGTATGTGGCGGTGAGTACTTCCTCCCCTCTTGGTATCCCAGGTCCCCAAGGGAGGCCCAGAACCTACCCTGAGCCTTTCTGAGGATGAAAGCCCACCTCACTCCCTGTTGGGGAGGCCAAGCTCTGAGGGAAATTTCTTGTCTTTTTCCCTTCAGGCTTCTGTACATATTGAGACCAACTAAACCTCTCTGGCAGACACGGTTAGTCAAATAACACAAGAGTTTTTCCCAGTCCCCTTTTCTCTTGCCTGCCTCCTATGGTAATGGCTAAAAAAGTGAGACACTAGATTCCCTGCCTCCCTTGCAGGTAGGGAGGGGTAAATATGTAACTCATGAGACTGGAGTGAGTTCACTGGGGGCTTCCTGGGAAAGCATTTTGCTTCCCTAACAAAAGTGAAAGAAATAGTGCTCAAAGCTCCTTTCCCCTTTCTTCCTACTTTGAATACAGGCATGAGGTCTGAAGGCACAGCACCAATCTGATCATGAACCATTAAGCCAGAGGACAAAGAGTTAACAAGGTAAGGGGATAAAGCAGAAAGATGAAGCCTCATTCACTGACAGCATCATTAGCATCTGAGGCAAATGTTAGCAACTTGTGTCTCAGTTTGTCATTAGACAGGTGTGAAAAATAAGCCCTTATTGTTCTAAAACTCAAGCAAATGCAATTGCCTACATCTATACCTCAACTGTCCGGCACAGAGTTTCAGAGTACTGGTGCTCTTTTCTGTGAGATGCAGAGATGAAGGAGGAAAAACAGAGGAGGTAGGAGGAGAAAGAAGTATTTGAGAAAACCTGTTTACATGTGTTTTCCACAGAAAGATGCCGTCACAGCTCTAATTTTGTCATGTCCCATAAAGCTCTATGCTGAAGCTGAGACATCATCACTTATGACACAGATTTCAGCCCACAGCATGCACTTCAAGGAGGACACAATAAGATTAACAAGCCAGATTCAATCATATGGCCTACAGCATCCCCCAAATGATTCTTCTTACATTTTGCTCCAAATAGCTTCTAATTAGCAATATTTTACCACCTTAGTTCTCATTTAGGTAAAATATCAGACCAAAAGTATCAGTTACTATTGCAAACTAACAATATTGTAATACTTCAACCAAAAATGTTAAGTTTTGTATTTGTTAAGTATTATTATTATTATTATTTTGAGATGGACTTTTGCCCAGGCTGGAGTGCAGTGGTGTAATCCCGGCTCACTACAACCTGTGCCTCCTTAGTTCAAGTGATCTCATGCCTCAGCCTCCCAAGTAGCTGAGATTAGGATGACAGGCACCCTCCACTCCCCTCTGCCTCAGATAATTTTTAAATTTTTTGTAGAGATGGGGTTTCACCATGTTGGCCAGGCTGGTTTCGAACCCCTGATCTCAAGTGATCAATCAGCCTGCTTCAGCTTCCCAAAGTGCTGGGTTTACAGGCGTGAGCCACCGGCCTGAACTTATTCTTATCTATGACCTTTCGATTAATGAGAAGAATTAGAACTAGATCCTAATCTCTTTGGCTGCATATAATGGCCAATTGGATTGGGCTTCCTTAACACATTCCATGAGTAATTTTATTCAGATTTTTCACATGCATCTTCACGATCAGTACTTTCATCATCATCGAAGTCCCTATCTGATTCATTTAACGTCAATTTCAAAGCACACTATTGTCACTTTCAACTGTTTGAAATATAGTCTTTTTACAGATTACCTAAGGTCAGGAGTTAAGAGACCAGCTTGGCAAACATGGTGAAACTCTGTCTCTACTAAAAATACAAAAATTAGCCAGGAATAGTAGCAGGCACCTGTAATCCCAGCTACTAGGGAGGCTGAGGCAGGAGAATTTCTTGGACCCAGGAGATGGAGGTTGCAGTGAGCCAAGACAGTGCCATTGCATTTCAGCCTGGGAGACAAGAGCAAAACTCTGACACACACACACATACACACACACACACACACAAACGCGCGCGCTTTATAGCCCTTTTTGGATCTCGATATCTTTTCAAAACATTAGGTCAGTTGGTTGTTGCTTTAACCTGGTTGGTTGGTTGGTTGGTTGACATGAAGTACTGCTCTGACACCCAGGCTGGAGTGCAGTGGCGCAGTCTCGGCTCACTGCAACCTCCGCCTCCCGGGTTCAAGTGATTCTTGTGCCTCAGCCTCTCCCATAGCTGGGATTACAGGTGCCCACCACCATGCCCAGCTAATTTTTTTGCATTTTTAGTAGAGATGGGATTTCACCATGTTGGCCAGGCTGGCCTCAACTTTCTGACTTCAGGTGATCCACACACCTCAGCATCCCAAAGTGCTGGGTTACAGGTGTTAGCCACCATAGCTGGCCTGTTTTAACCTATTAAAAGTAATCTTTAAAAGCCTTCTTTATAACACTGGGTCTCAAAGTGTGGTCCCAGACCCCAGCATCACCTGGGAACTTGTGAGAAATTCACATTCTTAGGCCTGCCTGCAGAATTACTGAATTAGGAAATCTGGGGATAATCCCGGAAAGCTGGGTTTTAATAAGCTCTCCAGGTGATTCTGAAACACACAGCAGTTTGAGAGCCATTACTTTGCAATAACATCTCACTGTTGCAATTATGAGGACATAGCATTAACAGTAATCTAGTTAAAATGTGTGTAGTTTTTTTGTTTTTGTTTTTGTAATGGGGTTTTGCTCTTGTCACAAGGCTGGAGTGCAATGGCGCAATCTCAGCTCACTGCAACCTCTGCCTCCTGGGTTCAGGTGATTCTCCTGCCTCAGCCTCTAGAGTAGCTGGGACTACTAGCGTCCATCACCACACCCAGTTAATTTTTGTGTTATTAGTAGAGATGGCTGGCCAACGTGGTAAAAATCCCTGGCCTCAGGTGGTCAAATTCCTGACCTCAGGTGATCTACCCACCTCAGCCTCCCAAAGTGTTGAGATTACAGGTGTGAGCCACCACATCTGGCCACTGTACCGCCTTTTTAAAACTGATTTTACTTTCAGAGAAACTTCTAGAAATACCCCGTGTTAGCTAAAACAGTAACTCCTATCACATCTTGTCTCTATGCCCTGCTTTATTTTCTTTAGAATGTATTAAATATCAGACATCATCTATCTGTTTAGCATCTGTCTTCCCCCACTAGAATACATGCTTCATGAGGCAAGCACTTGGTTTTATTCCTGGTTTTCTTCCCAACAAATAGAACTGTACCTGGTCCTATTGGAAATGAAGGAATTATTGAGGTAATTTCAGGATAACACATATTCCTGAACTAAGGTAGACCACATAGGCCCAAAGACTACCTACAACCACACTGAGCTATTTTTATTCACCACACTCTGACACCAAATGTCGACAGGTTTTCCACATCACCCAGTTCTCCAATTCTCCAGACACAACTATGTATCCTGTAATTCAATTCAGTTCTGACACTACCTGGAGTTAGTGTCAGATTCCACAGGTTTAAGGGCTTAGCCCACAAAACTTCCTTCACTTCAGATGCCAGTCAGGTGCCCAGTATGCCCACACTTCTGACTTGGAAACAAAGGCCAGGGTTCCCATAACACTCCCTTAGATTTAATAATTTGCTAGAATGGCTCACAGAACTCAGGAACTCATTTTCTTACTATTACTTGTTTATTACAAAGGACACAACTCGTAAATAGCCAAATAGAGGGAATGCATTGGGCAAAGTATGGTGAGGGGGACAGAGCTTCCATGTCCTCTCTGGACACATGACCCTCCCAGCACCTAGATATCTTTACCAACTTTAAACTTCCCTGAACTTTATCACTTAGGGGACTTTATGGAGGCTTCATTATGTATTGATTAAATAAATCATTGGTCATTGGGGTAACTCAATCTCTAGCCCCTCTCCTTTGCCCAGAGGTGAGGGCAAGGAAGCAGGGCTGGAAAGGCTGAGGTCTTTTTTGTTGTTGTTCAAATGGAGTCTTGCTCTGTCACCCAGGCTGTTGTACAGTGGCATGATCTTGGCTCACTGCAACCTCTACCTCCTGGGTTCAAGTGATTCTCCTGCCTCAGCTTCCCAAATAGCCTCAGTGATTCTCCTCCCTCAGCCTCCCGAGTAGCTGGGACTACACTCACCACCATACCCAGCTAATTTTTGTTTTGCTAATTTTTGTCTTTTTAGTAGAGACAGTGTTTTGCCATGTTGGCCAGGCTGGTCTCAAACTCATGACCTCAGGTGATCTGCCCACCTTGGCCTCCCAAAGTGCTGGAATTACAGGCATGAGCCACCACTCCTAGCCATGGCTTGGTCTTTCTAGAAAGACTAGCCCCATCTTGAAGCTATCTAGGGGCCCTCAGGCACCAGCCATCTCATTAACACATACAAGACACTCAGCTGTGTAATGGCTCAAGCCCATAACCCCAGCCACTTGGGAGGCTGAGGAAGGAACCGAGGATTGCTTGAGGCTGGGAGTTCAAGACCACCCTAGGAAACAGCTACACTGCACTCATCACTGGTTAGAGTCCAAGGATTTTGGAAGCCACAAGCCAGGAACCAGAGACAAAGACCAAATATGTATTCCTTATATCACCACACACAGAATTCTCTATCCTTACTCTTCTTCACGGCATGTATATATTTTTGTTTTGTAAGATCCAAGAAAGCAAGATTTTTGTGTTTTTTTCTTTTGCTATTTTCTTAGTATCTGTATTACTAAGATTCTCAGTAATAATAAATACCTGTTAATAAACAAATGACTCTAACTTGTAAACTCTGCTACTGCTAATTTAGTCATTTGCACCATCAGTCTGCAAGATGACTCCCCCACCCCCGTCCTCCCACCCCAACCACTGCCTCAGAAGTGAAAGATACTGAAGCAGTTCAAGTGACCAATGGCTAACATGACAATTACAGGGATATCATCTTAAAGGAAGGAAGAAATGTAATTTTTAAAACTCTAGTCATAAGACATACAGAAAAAAACCCTATATGTTTTTAAACTTTTTGGTTATTGTAGGTAAAGCATTATAAGAATACTCATAAAGAGGAAAAGATTTGACAAGCTGATTGTTTCAGGGGACAGGTTAAGAGATTGGGGGTAAGTGATTTTTTGTTTTTTCTTATGCTGAACTGTGGTAACTTTATATTTGAGCTGATGAAAAAAAAATTCTGGACCATCCACTGTACTTTTTAAGCGTCTATTTGTTAGACAAAATATGAGGAAATGTGGTCTGTTTTATCACTTTTTGGTTTCAAAATGGGTACTTAAATACAGATAACAGTACATACATGACAAACTGGAAGAGCAGGTTCTGCCACACTGCCAACTCACCTGTTACCTGGTATCTCCTCTCAGACTGGCAGAACCAGCAATGCAGTGTGGCGTAACACAGTTGGAAACCGTGCCCAAGCTGAGCCCCCAAGTGCAAGAAGTAGCCCTCATGTTAAGAACTGTGAAGGTCAGGAAAAATCACTACTTGACATATGCCACGCACATCATTTCAGAAACAAGTAGAAAAGAACCCCGGGGGCCCAGCGGGGTGGCTCACACCTGTAATCCCAGCACTTTGGGAGGCTGAGGTAGGCGGATCACCTGAGGTCAGGAGTTCAAGACCAGCCTGACCAACATGGAGAAACCCCATCTCTACTAAAAATACAAAAATTGGCTGAGTGTGGTGGCACATGCCTGTAATTCCAGCTATTTAGGAGGCTGAGACCGGAGAATCACTTGAACCTGAGAGACAGAGGTTGCAGTGAGCTGAGATAGAGCCATTGTATTTCAGCCTGGGCAACAAGAGCGAACCTTGAAAGAGAAAAGGGGGAAAGAAAGAAAGAAAAAGAGAGAGAGAGGGAGGGAAAGAAAGAAAGAAAGAAAGAAAGGAAAAAAGGAAGGAAGGAAGAAGGAAGGAAGGAAGGAAGGAAGGAAGGAAGGAAGGAAGGAAGGAAGGAAGGAAAGAAAGGGAAAACAAAGAAACTCCAGACAACAGGGAATAGAAGGAAGTCAAGTCAAAGTGAAGGCATGCTGTCTTTTTACGGCAAGTTTTTCTTGCAAGTTATATAGATCGAGCCAGGAAATGTAAAATATGACTGAGCACCCCAGGTTTATCTGTGCAGTGCAAGTAGGTAGTTTTACTTTGATCAAGATTTCCACACTTCATTTCTGGCAAAAAAAATGGGAACACTTTTTCATGTGGCATATGCTATTTTCTTAAAACAATGTATATTTCTCATTAACAATGTTTGTTTTTTAGATGATTATTCGGTTTGCACAAATAGAACTGTACGGATAACGAATATAAACCTTTGCCATACATTTTCTAAATTATACAAATGATCATTACAAACAAGTGTGCTTAGCGTTCATTTTGTTAATAGCCCATCGCCTCTGAGAATCTGCCTTTTCCTAAGACAACAGTTTAGGTTACCTCTCCCAATTTCATATTTTGGCCGCCAAAATAAAAGTTTTCAATAGTAACAAAATTAGGTGTCCTTCTAGGACTGAGGAAAGTTGAGTGATGTATAAAAACATTCACTCAGAAACCAGGCTTCTGGGCCTGGAGTCCTTAAGTGACTAGTGAAACTGATTGAAATGTTGCAGTGTTTCCCATTGCAGGAAATTACTTAACCTTTTAGAGCCTCCTTTTCCTTCTTATAAAGCTAGAGCATTATATAATTATAAAAGTAGCTGTGGTTTCTAAATCCCTCCCTGCTCTAAAAATACGTAATTCAAAGCTGCTAAAAATAAATACCTTTAAAATTGGCTGTGACACATGTGACATACACATATATACACAGAGTTTCACTGTGACAAGGGGAGGGGCTATACAATGTTTTGTAGCAGAAGTTTACAGTGCATCGGTATCAAGATGTTTTTCTTCCTGAAAAAATGTTTCAGGGTGGCATTCAGCCTGAAGGGAGAGTTCTGGGAAACCTTCAGGCACTTCCGTGGAAACACAGGGCAGTGTTTTGGGAGAACACATCACAGCTCAACTGGGGACCCAGCGGAACTTGTAACCCCCGTTGGCTGTTCTGATGGTGAAGGCATTGCCCTGGGGGAAGGCGAGGGTTCGGATGGTGCTGTGGCTGCGGATGGGGGTACTGAAGGAGCCGCCCTCCTCCAGCTCACTATGGCTCAGATTCAACTTGCTCCGGCTGCAGTCGGTGCGCAGTCCCCGGAAAGCGCCATGCAGATTCCCGGGCCTGCTGTCCATGTTCACAGACTCTGGCTGCAGTCGCGGCCTCTTGGGATCACGGCTGTGCAGGGCTTCATCGCAGCGCTCGGAAATCTCCCGCAGGATGGCATCCACTTCCGCGCAATCCTCCCCCGCGGCACTGACCAGCTCCTCCAGGCTTCTTTTGGCCTTCGCCTTCAGCAGGAAGGGCTCAGCTGCCGCCTCACAATCCCAGGACTGTGTGATCATCAGCTTCTACGAAAGACGGGGAAGAGCGCCGCCCTGGGGCCTGCCGGACCAGCCGGGGTCCGGGTGCGCAAAAGGTGACCTTGGCGCACTTTGCACCAGACACCCAGCGGTCCTCTCCTTTCCCCGGCCCACGCTGGGTCCCAATGCTGGGAGCAGAGTCGGGGGCAGGGATGCACTGAACAGTTCAATTCCGATGTCCTGCAGTTCCCACACGCCCCAGCCCCACTTACATCCAGCACCGAGGCCAGGTGCCGGGTTCGGCTAGCGAGTTCCTTCAGCTGCACATTTCGTTCCTTGAGCGAGGCGATCTCCTCCTGTTTCTGGGTCAGCGTCACGTGCAGCTGCAGGAGGGGACCCAAACTTTCAGGGGTAGGCACTGTGCTGGATCGAGCCTGCGTATCTGGCATGAATCAAAACCAGATCCTGACGTCTCATCAGGAACTGAGGACGCGTGGGCATTTACACTAGCAAGAATAATAATCAATTTCCTTTTTTTTTTTTTTTTTCCTTAAAGCACTTGGACAAAACGTATCTCCATTCATCCTCAGTGTAGCGTGCTGATTAAGAGTACTGACTTGGGCAGATCTAGGTTCTGTCACTAAAGTTCAACAATCCTATGTCTTGATTTCCTTGTAAAAGGGGGCCAGTAAGAGTATCTAGCTCAATGATTGTGAGCATTGAGAAGAGAAAGCATAAATCGTTAAGTACAGGGCCAGGCACATAGAAAACCTTCAATAAATATTGGTGTCCCTATTACAAATCTGGCAGGCACTATGCAAGATATGTGTGTAACACAACTGCACTTGTACCTCTAAATCCCCCCAAAATAAAACAATGTTTAAAAATAAATAAAATGGTCTGGTGCAGTGGCTAACGCCTGTAATCCCAGCACTTTGGGAGGTCCAGGCAGGGGGATCACCTGAGGTCAGGAGTTCAAGACTAGCCTGGCTAACATGGTGAAAACCTGTCTCTACTAAAAATACAAAAATTAGCCAAGTGTGGTAGCACACACCTGTAATCCCAGCTACTTGGGAGGCTGAGGCATGAGAATCACTTGAGCCTGGGAGGTGGAGGCTGTAGTGAGCCGAGATCAAGCCACCGAGCTCCAGCCTAGGCAACAGAGTGAGTCTCTGTCTCAAAATAAACAATCAATAAATAAAAATTAATTAATAAAATAAAAATCAGGTGGGATAGGATTATTTCCACTTAATGAAGCTGGAAAGAGGTGGAGTCACTGAAGCAATGGCAGCTATGCGAACCACCAGCCAGTCCACTGGCTCCCACTCACAGGACCTCATTCTTGCCCTTGCAACCCCCACTGCCACCCTCTATACTCTGTCCCTGCCCCAGGATTCCTGGTTGCCAGGCCAGTGTCCCTACTTGATTGTTCTCAACAAGCGCGTCTCCCAACGCTCTCTGGTTCTGGTCTGCCACCTCCTTCCAGTACTGCTCAGGCGGGGGCACGTCTGGATGCTGCAGTGGTGGTGACTGCAAGGCCCGTGGGTCCAGTGATGGGGAGAGGCAGGGCCCGAATGGTGATATGTCGCAAGGAGAGAAGGGGAAGTCTCCGCTGGCCAGGGCAGGTGACATCATAGAAGATGAATCTGGAGAAGAGCGGGAGCTGGATTTGCAGCCTCAAACTCATGGCCAGCTAGTTACAGGAGCAAAATGCCACTCTGGGTGTAGGGTTTATGTAGAGATTTTCTTTTAATTATTAAATTAAGTACCCCTTACTCCTAAACGCCTGATTACCAGGCCCTTCCTGATGGCCTGTACATACACAGCAGGCATCCAAAACTTGCCTGTCAAGTTTACAATCAAGAAAACTTCCCTGGGCCTGCACGTCACACAGGCCTTCTATCCTCTGCACACTCGTCAAGCAACCTCCCCCGCCATACCAGAGCATAGTGCTCCGTCTCCCAGAACTCACAGCGACCCCCACTATGTAGATCCAGTGGTTCGACTTATCCACTGGGGGAGAGAAATGTCCTAAATATGGAAAAGCCTGACTATTTGATGAGTTGCTGGAGAGTCATTGACAGTTGGCTGGGTTTACCACCTTCACAACCACGAAATCAGAACTAGTCTGATTTGGGAGTGGGAGACACCTCCGCTGTTATTTAACTGCCAGGAGATTGCACTTGCCTGCAATGAGATCATCCACCGTGTCTCTGAAATCCCGCAGATCGAAGTCCGCTTCCGTTTGGAGGGAATGGTTCTGAAATAAACCAGAGGTGTACACTGGTTAACGCGTCTGGAGGGTCCGGAACTCTTCCTAGACCGACAGACCCAGGCCGGGGCTCGGCAGCGGGTCTGTGCGCACTCGCGTCGGCAGCCCAGTCTCCTACCCGAAAATTCAAGCCCCCTCCTAGACAGTGAACCCAACAGGCTCACACTGCTGCGGTGGGGAGCGGGACATGGGGGTTGAGGGGGGAGCTCCTGCAGGGAGCGGAAACGGAGAGCAGTGGCGGAGGTCGGTCCCTCCGCGGGCGGGGCGGGGGCCCAGTGCGGGCTCCGACAGGCGAGTGGCCCGCCACCCACCAATCAGCCAAGCAGTCGCCTGCGTGCGGCCTGGCGGTTCCCTGTGCACCCGCGAAATTTCATCTCCGATTCATCAGCCACGCGCCACCGAGCCGACGCTCTAGGAGCAGAACACGGCTTGAACACCGGCTTTTCCCACCCAAAACCTGACAGCTTTCAGGGGCCTCCAGAGCAGTAATTTGAGGCCGCGTTTCCCCGCCAAGGCTCAACCCCAGCTAACCACCCCACCCCCGCAACCGAGCGGGAAGTAGGCTGTGATTCGAGGGGCCAGATGGATGTGGGAAATGCTTCTGTTCTGTGCACAGCTGGCGTGGCCTCAATTGCTCTTTTCAGTTTCCCAAAAAGTTGGGAGCAGACTTTTCTCATACAGCTGGTGCACCTCCAACATCTTGAACTGTACTCTCGCTGCCTCCTGCAAGGTGTCTGGGTGTGTGAGGGGAAAGGAGACTCTAAGGGGCCGGAGGAACAGGGACTTTGTTGTTCCCTTAATTCATGGACATTTAGAGTTGATTTAAAAGACGCTTTTACACGGCCTCTCAGTTCATCCTCACACCAGTGTGGAAGCAGGCGGGGCCTGGGAAGTGATTCCTCTTTGAGGAAGAATCTGATGCTGAGAGAGCTACCCAGAGTCACCCAGCTCTGAAGTAGTGGAATGGGGCCTCCTGCCTCCATACTTTATTTCTTTCTTTTCTGTCTTTCTTTCCTTTCCTTTTCTTTTCTCTTTTCTTCCTTCCCTTCCCTTCCTTCTTTCTTTTCTTTCTGTCTTTCTTTGACAGAGTTTCACTCTCATTGCCCAGGCTGGAGTGCAATGGCCCAATCTCAGCTCACTGCAACCTCCACCTCCCGGGTTCTAGAGATTCTCCTGCCTCAGCCTCCCTAGTAGCTGAGATTACAGGCACCCGCTACCATGCCCAGCTAATTTTTTGTATTCTTAGTAGAGACGGGTTCACTATGTTGGCTAGGCTGGTCTCGAACCCTGACCTCAGGCGATCCACCTGCTTCAGCCTCCCAAAGTGCTGGGATTACAGGAGTGAGCCACTGCACCCAGCTGCTTTTCTCTTTTTAGGAAAGCTGGCTTCCACCGAAGACAGCACTGGGAAGGGGACAGGAGTCTCAAGGGCCATGGTGTGAGAAGATGCATCCAATTGCCCACCAGAAAGACCTGTCCTACTGAATGCACTGTTGATTCATTCTTTCGTGCTCATCATACTGTTCTCCCCAAAGAGAGAGTTCTTCTTTACTATTTAAATATTTCTGGGAAGAGGAACTTACTCTGGAACTAACTTCAAAGAATGTACAAGTATCAGTTTTCTTTCCCTTGGGAGAAAAGAGTCAAGTAGGGAGGCCTCTACCACCTCTGTCACTAGTTGAGACTATAAGGGAAATGAGATGAGAAAGGAAGGGCTGAGGGCCCCACACAAGTCCTGGAGCATAAGTTCTGCCCTGGTTGAAGGGGCTTATTCTTCAAGGACTGGAAGGTCTCTTCCTCAGTAGGGATTTGAGAAAAGTCTCATGAGGAGACTGAAGGCTAACTCAGGAACTAGGGCCCTGGAAATGCTACCTCTTATGCCAATCCAGGTTTTGGCCCATTGTGAACCTCAAACATTTCTAGAGCACTTCCTCTCTCTGTCCACCTTCCCCTGAAGGAAAGGAATGGGGAAGTGTGATCTGAGTGTCCCTGGGGTCTCCCTGGATGTTCCTCCACAAGGGGCCACTTTCCTCTGAACCAGTTCTGTCTTCCCAGGAAAAATCCTGAATTTTTTTGGGTCCATCTGATGTGAGCTCTGTTCTTGAAACTTCGAGGCTGGGTATGGTGGCTCACGCCTGTAATCTCAGCACTTTGAGAGGCTGAGGCAGGCAGATCTCTTGAGCACAGGAGTTCAAGACCAGCCTGGGCAACATGGCAAATCCCCATCTGTACAAAAAATACAAAGAAACAAGAAACTGGCTGGCCATGGCAGTGTGTGCCTATAGTCCTGGCTAGTTGGGAGGCTGAGGTGAGAGGATCACCTGAGCCTAGGAGGTCCAGGCTACAGTAAGCCATGATCATGTCACTGTGCTCCAGCGTGGGCGACAGAGTGAGACCTTGTCTCAAAGAAAGAAAAAGAAAATAAATGAAACTTCGAATTCTACCGACACAAATAGATAAATCTGGCATTTCTCCAACTACAAAATGAAGAAAAAAATGTCTAACAAACAGCATGATACCAAATTTAAAATCTATATACTTAAGCAAACATTCAACAAGAACTGCTTGGGTTTTGTTACTTGCACAATAAACATGTTGGGGTAAGGGAGTAGGTCTCTGGGTCAGCTGGAAGATGCTCAGGCATTATCTTTCCTTATTCCATCATCCAGATCTAAAAAGAACAATTAAATGGCCTTGGCAGTGCAATGCCCACTCCCAACTCTTGCCTGAATCTCTGCTTTCAGTGGCCACCTACATTGAGTCTCCCTGGGTTCTACCCCAAGGTTCTAGGAGGCCCTTGGAAAAGGACTGAGAAGCTTTGCTCCACTACCACTTCCAGTTCTGGGAGGTGGTCAAGCCTCTGCAGAGTTCTGTACTGGGCCTGTCTGCAGACCCCAGACCTATTGCCAGGAAGCTGGAACTGGCACTCTTCCCGGGAGTTGCATCTGGTTAAGACCCCCTGTCCACCTGGGCACGTCATGTCCCACCCATGAGCTGGGCTTCTGGCCTCCCAGACACCAGTGCTGGGAGACTCCTTCCTCTGCCGTCAGCACCGGCAAGCGGTGGAAGTGGGATGGGAGTAAGAAGACAGGTTCTGCGGGAAAGAAAAAAGTTGAGTGCCTTTTTGCCCCATCATGGCAAGTGACTGGAGCTTTTACGAGGGCTGAACAGGACTTTGAAAAAGTGCCCAACTGCTGAAGGACCATCTCTACAGAAGGGAATATTTTTAGCAAGATTACTTCCAGAGTCCTTTGTCCTTCCTGCTTCTCCCAACTGCAAATTCTCTAACTCTTTTCCAGTCTTGATAAAGAAGTTATCCATCAACCTCCACTGTTCTACCCACGGAATGATAATGGCCAGGAAGCGGGTGTTGGGAGAACTGACAGAACATGCAACAGGTGCCCAGAGAGCAACTTTGCTCCCACCCACCCGCCTGGTCTCTCAGTGCACAATCTTGTCACAGATCCGAGGAGTAGATAGGGAGGGGAATAGCAAGGGAGGCTTCCAGGTGAGCCCCACTGTACCGAGTTGGTCAAAACAGCTCCAGTGGATATGTGGCCTTCATAACATGCTAGGAGAGAAGCGGAAGTTCTGATCTGGAAGGCACAGGTGCCTGCACGACGCTTCCCCTCATCAGCTGAAATTGCCTGCGCTCCCGACCCGAGAGGAGCTTTTAGGGAATTAAAACCACCACCCCGGAGTAGGGTTTGGGCTGCGTGAAACCGCGAGGCTCCACCAGAAGGGGGAGGTACCTGCGATGCGGCTAGGTCACCACCAGGCGGCGCGTCGGACCCGAGTAGCGAAGAGCAGTCCGCGAGGTCCTGCAGGTCTATGGTGGTGAGGGCTGCGCGGGGAGACCGGGAGACACGCGCAGGGCGGCCCCTGAGCCTCTCCGCCAGGCTCGCTGCTAGGACGTCAAAGCCCGGAGGAGAGAAGCTCCTCCGAGCCGTGCGCGCCGCACCCTCCCGGCGAGGGAAACCCGAGGGGTAGGCGTGTGCCACGGGGCTCACCTGGCAGCGCAGTGGGCTCGGCGTCTGAGGGATCCTCGTACACCGACACCGGGCTCCCGCCTGTGCATCCCGGCAAGAACTTCCGCGGAGGATCGAACTGGCCGGGCACACAAACGTTGAACGCGGGTCAGCCCTCGGGGCACGGAGCGCGCAGACCCTGCCCGGCCCGAATCAACTGCCCCACCTTCCTTTCCGGCTTCCCGGGCTTGCAGAGCAGCGCCCGGCCAGGCAGCGCCAGCATCCTGTTGGGGCAGATGCTGTCGAAGGCCCGGCGGCTGGCCGCGCCGCCCCCGCACGCCTGCATTGTGCCTCCTTCCTCCTGCCTCCCAGCGCCGACTGCTCGGAGGCGGCGGCCCGAAACCTGCCGGAGGTTGGGGCAGGCGCGTGGCTGGGGAGGAGCCGAGTGGCGGCCGAGGAGGTGCGGAGAGAGGACGGGGGAGGAGGAGGACCGCCGAGCGGGAGGGGTGGCTCGCGCCTGAGCGCCAGAGGTGGCGCCTTCTGCCCGGGACAATCTGCGCGCGGGCGGAGGCGTTAAACCCAACCTGGCAACCGGGCTTCCCCCGGGAGCCGCCAGCGCGGGGCCCGGGCCCGCCAGCGCCCTTTCGGCGAGCGTTGGCGCTGCCGCCTCCCGGCCGCGCCAGACGGAGAGAGAGAGAAGGAGGGGCGGGCGAGCGCCGGTCTCCCTCGCCTTGGGTACTGTCTTCCGCTTACCGACAGCGAGAATGGCAAAGTTAACGATTATTTCCTTTTCTTCCCACTCCAGCCACAAGGCACAAAATAAACGTCAAGTGACACCCGCCATCGCTAGACTCCGGCTTTGCGCTCCCTGCAGGATTTAGTAAGGATGTGGAATACCGTCAGGGACGCCCTGGAACAGCCCCCTGATTACAGAAGCCCCTTCCCACAAACCTGAACAGTATCCTGGGTCCTGACTCACGGACTTCTACAGGGTCTCTTTTGGCTTGAGGCCAACAGCCCCTGCTCGCTCCCCCAGCCCCGCAATTATCTCGGCAGTGCCCCGTGAGCACAGCCTTTAAAAGACGGTCCGTTAAGAAAAAGTGACAATACGAACCCTCCTCCACTTTCTGAAAACGCCACAGTGGACAGTCCCGAATCCCCGAAAGCCCTGGCCCTGTCTCTCCTAGTGGTTTCAGCGGCCCATTGCAACGTTTGGCTGGTCTCTTCGCAGTCGAAGTTGCCATTCCCAACCCGACAGCTCTCCAAGGAATGGACATTTTCCTGAGTCCGAGGCATCTCCCAGGGAGGGGCATCCTTAGGTGAAGGGACCTTTCTCAGGACCACTCATATTCATCCAAGTTGAAGTCATCTGAACTTGGAATCTTTGTGTACCCCCCCATATTTGGGCACCTTGTTTTCCTTTTATACATAGTAGTAGTAGTAGTGAAATAGCCTCTTTTAACGTGTCATCGTCCTCTCATTTGCACCCATTATCTGGAGTAAGAAATAAGATCCCCTAACAGCCGTGGAAGGTAAACCAATGGTAGAGCTGGAATAGATTGAGAGACCCTCTGACCCACGTGTAGATGCAGAAACTAAATTGAGGTGAGGTCAACCAGCTAGAGTTAGTGTGGTATGGCTGCTGGTGAGGAACTCTGGCTTTAGGATCAGAGTGCCTGAGGACCAGGTGGATGAGCCCCGGGTCTTTAGGGGAAAAAAAAGTTACACTGGCCTCAACAGAGTTAATGTGAAGATGAGTGAGATTATTTATGTAGAGTAACTGGTGCTTAGTAGGGGTAAATTAGTGATTTTTTGAAAAGACTTTCAGCTTTATTTCCAGCTTCCCACAGCCTGCTCCTAGTTCTGTCTCCTGTTTCCTCTGGTTCCTGAGTAGCACAACCACCAGACAGTTCATCTCCATTCCCATCTTCACTCACTTTCCAGTCTTTAAAATGAGTAGGGATGCTCTTAGCTGAGTTTTGGGGAGATCTCTACACATGCAGGTCATCACAAAATTTCCAGGATAGGCCCATTGTCCAAATCTTTGCCAATGAGTTCTAAGTTGGGGTAGAAAAAAATGGGCATTGTACATTATCTCTTGTAACAGGAACTGGAATAGCAGGATTATATGACTCTTAGTCTGGATGATTCTGGAACCAGTAACCCATAGCAATCTTGGCTGATTAATGGAGCAGATACTGGTTAAGACAACTGCCCCCAAAGTTACTCTTTTGCCTGGGGGCCAGACCCCAACCCCTTACAACAAAACGGAGGGCCCTAATACTTTGTGACTTGAAACAGGTGATATGATCTTCCTCCTCCTTTTTCACCATCACAGAGCATCTTTTACACAAATAGCTTGGGGATCACCACTTCCTTCTTCCAGAGCCAATGAGGAGGAAGTTCCTAGAGTTTAGCCTAGCAATATGTCAGAAGAGGCATCCAAGAGGTCTAGAGTAAGGCATCCCTGACTCTGAGAACACTTGGAAGACACACTTCAAGAGAAGTGCAAAGAAGTTTCTCTAAATTTCCTATGACTTTGTTTGCTTTTTATTTGTTTGTGTGTGTGTGTGTGTGTGTTTTTGTTTGTTTGTTTGAGACGGAATTTCGCTCTTGTTATCCAGGCTGGAGTGCAATGGCATGATCTCAGCTCACCGCAACCTCCGCCTCCTGCGTTCAAACAATTCTCCTGCCTCAGCCTCCTGAGTAGCTGGGACTACAGGCGTGTGCCACCATGCCCAGCTAATTTTTGTATTTTTAGTAGAGACGGTGTTTCACTTTGTTGACCAGGATGGTCTCTATCTCTTGACCTCGTGATCCATCCGTCTCGGCCTCCCAAAGTGCTGGGATTATAGGCGTGAGCCACCTCGCCCAGCCTTGTGCTTTTTATTTGTATTTGTCACACATTTTGATTTATTCTAGGTGCAGGGGAACATGCCATATTTCCCCCCAAAAAAATTATGACTTTTTTCAACCATACCAAAAATGTGAAAATACAATGAACATCCATATGTTCACCGCCCACCCAAATTGTTATTTTCCCATATTTTTTCTCTGTTTCTTTGCGCCAAGTTTTTCTGCATAGCTCCTCTCCTCCCATCACTGTGCAGGTTACCACTAGCCTTTATTTCTCGAGGGCTTGCTGCGTGCCAGGACCTGTGCTGGGGGAATCAGTAAGGAGTATCTCATTAGAGCTATGCTTCCACCCTACTAAATAGGCACTATTGCTAGTCCCATTTTTATAGATAAGACGTAGGCATAGATATGTGACTTGCTCAAGGTCACCTGGCAAATTGGATCCAGAGCCCACTTATTGAATCACTACTTTATACCACCTCATAACACATAAGCTTAGTATCATTTAAGCTTCTCAATCTCATTTAGGCTTACAACAACCTTGGTTTCAATTGTGGAGCTGAGAGAGGATATGAAATTTGCTAGAGGTGACAAGAGCTGAGAGATTTAGTGACTGCATCAGATTCATGACAGTGAGACTGAAGATAATATGACAGGTGTAGAGCTAAAACTCCAGCAAACCTGTCTCATTTCTCAACTCAGTTTTCTCTAAATCTATAAAATGATTCCTGTAATGTGACCGAGGTATGCACTGTGCTGGCTCTCCAGATATGTTCTCTGTAGGCCCTACTGAATGGGGAGCACTGAGTAAATAACTGTCTGCCACCTACCTCAAGAAGAGCATTTTGGAGAATTACCAGAAACCTGTACGTGGGGGACATTTAGTAGTGTGGCTAAGAGTGGGACTCTGGACTCAGATCCTGGCTACTCCACTGTTGTTTAATGGCTCTGTGCTCCAGTGTCCTCTGAAAAATGGGATAATAGACTCTGCTTCATAGAGTTGCTGGAAAAATGAAATAAATTCTGAACACGGTTCCTAATACATAGCACTCAATATAGCCATTATGACTATTATGCCAGTTATCTTGGGCACCATGTGGTAGCATGAACAGTTAAACCACATAATTGCAGGGTAAATGGGCTTGACCTGCAATGGCCATGACCAGTCACAGCCTTGGTTTTCAACATGCTCCAGTTGAACACAGAATTCTCCATGCCTGGATGTTGCTTGCTTTCCCCCACCTCTGCTAGTGTGCCTGTGTGGTCCCCAAAGCTTCCCAGCCTCACTTCTGCCTCATTAGCAAGTGCAGTCATCTGACAGCATAGAGGTTCTATTCTGTCTTACACTACACTGCACTCACTGCACCCTTTTGGACTCTGTAGGAGGGCAGAGTCCCTAGTCTCTTGACACGAGGGTCACAGGACTCAAGCCATCAGGTGATCCTAACTCCACTAATCTCTGGAATTCAGGATCCAGGACCTCACCTGACCTGGTGTTTCCACAGAGATGCCAACTACAGAGTGGACCCAGAGGGAAGGTAAAATCCCTCAAACAATGCCAACCACCCCATTCCTGAGCTGAATTCACCTTTCCTCACCACAGACAGACACTTGCAGTATTTAGACAAACCACAACTGTTTATTGGGGAAAGACTCACCTCCCTCATGTGCTCGCTGCAAAATAAATAAAATACCAGATGCTACTATCACACACTATTTACAACCTGCAGCTGACCAAGCAGGCCCTGAAGCCTTCTCTGTGAAACAATATTACACTCTTCTGAGGCTATGGGAGAGGTCCAGTAACTGGGCCAGGAACTAAAAGGAAACCAAGAGTCTGTTTTATTTCGAGCTCAGGGACAGGCTGCACTTCTCGAAGATCTGAACAGGCAGCATGTGAGTTAGGGAAGTACTGTTCATGGCCACCAGCAACTGCAGCTTGCCCAGGCAGTCCTGCAGCGCCGCCTCCGGGTGCTCGCCCAGGCGCAAGTCCACCGGACGCGGGACCCGCAGCATGCGGTCCGCCAGCGCCAGGCAGCAGATCGCCAGCAGGGAGGGGGAGTAGCTGGTGAAGGCATAGTCGGCCAGACTCAGTTCGGCCACCCCGCGCGCCAGGGCTTGCGCTTCCAGAGCTTCGGAGACCTCAGACTGCCCCGCCTCCACACGAGCGTGCGTGAAATGCTCCAGGAAGAAGCTAATGGTGGGTGCACCCAGGCTGAAGTGTAGCTTGTGCAGCACGATGCACTCGAGGTTGCAGAGCTGCTGCCGGGAGAAGGCGCCGCAGCACAGGGCCAGGAGCTGCTTCACGCGCGGCGGGTGCACCTCCACCTGCAACACAGGGCACATTCAACCTACCTTGCGGCTTCCCGGCCCGAGGCCCATTCCAGTCTAAAGCCCGGGACTTTCCCCATCCCTTCCAGAGAGACAGCAGGGACTCCACCTCTCCATTGCTTCCACGTAAGTGATCTGGGGCGTACTTCCAGCGCAGTTCGTCTAACTACTGTCCAACTAAAAAAAAGCTTGGGAAAATCTGAAGGCTTTTTCGGAGATGAGACCAGAGGTGTCACAAAGAGATGTTTGGGACTGACTAC